GTAGGATTTACTAGCTAAAGCCAATGGAAGTGTTTCACTGCCACTGACTGTAGTAGAGTAACTTAATTTTACTGATTTCTAAATGGGGACAGGGCACAGGGAGAGAGAGAAGACTGAGAATGGGTATAAGAGACATTTTTCAACTGTAGAGAGCAGCAGCAGCCTTTCAAACACTGCTTTGGTTAAGCAGTATTTTGAGAGAATGGGCTAGGAAGTGTATTATTATTAGTAGTACAATCAATTAGCATTATTAATATCAGTATTGGTATTATGAAATTCTACATTTTGAAGAAATTGACTGTTACATCCCATAGGCATTAAAGATGTCGTGCCATTCTAAAATTCCATGTTGTTCATTACTGAGATAAGTACTGGTAACTGACATTGGTACATACTGTACTGTAAAGTACATAATTCTTTGTCATTTGTAAGACAGCAGCACAATACTTTAGTATTATACCTCATGTTTTCTTTTCTCAAATTCAGCAGACAAACTGACCTGCAAAGCTCCAGAACTAGTAGCACTAACAGAGGTTCATGGATGCACTAATATTCATTTTTGGCAGTTCCAGATTTCATATATATTTTTTGTCATTCTCTTTTTATTGTCACAGTGGTATGATCAAAACCAGTTCACTACATGACACTATTTAACTGGACTAGAAGGCAGCAGTGAAGTGACTAAGTAGTGATATGACTGAGTGGAAAGTGCCATGTGTAACAATGTACATACCGTACATAGTACAGTATATAGATATAACTGTATTTCAACAATGCATCAGTTTATTAACTAATATTAATTAAGAAGAAAAAGTACAAGGAGCACAGAAGCAGTAGCACATCATTTTGGTGCAGGCTGGGTAGAACCAACAGTACTCTACTGTACTGTACAGTATATTCTGTTTTCATAGTGATTATCCATCTATAAAAGGTCAATTGTATAGACCATGTAAACCAAAATTCAATGCAGGTAATTTGCACAACTTACCATTTTTGCCTGTATACACTTATGTATTTATGTGCCGACAGCCATATCACCCTGCAAATCGATAACAACCCATTAAAGCTCAGCAGGTGTGAGTCTGGCCAGTGCCTGGATGGGTGACCTACTGGGAAAGCTAAAGTTGCTGCTGGAAGAGGTGTTAGTGGGGCCAGTGGGGGGTGCTCACCCTGTGGTCTGTGTAGGTCCTAATGCCCCAGTATAGTGACAGGGACTCTATACTGTAAAAAGAGGCACCAACCATCAGATGAGACTTTAAACCGAGGTCCTGACTCTCTGTGGTCCTTAAAACTTTTAGGGTGTTTCTTGAAAAGAGTAGAGGTATTACCCTGGCATCATGGCCAAATTTCCTCCACTGAGAGCTGGTGTGTGGTGAGTGTGCTGGAGCACTATAGCTGCTGTCGCATCATCCAGCTGGGGCTCCACACTGGCGGTGGTGGAGGAGAGTCCCCATTACCTGGAAAGTGCTTTGAGTGAAATATCCATAAAAGCGCT